ATGTTAAACATTCTCACTGCAAAAAAAAATGGTAATTATGTGAGGCGATGGAGGTGTTAGCCAAAACTACAGTGGTGATCATATTGCAATGTATAAACGTATCAAATCAATATGTTGTACACCTTAAACTTACACAATGCAATATGTCAATTATATCCCAAACAGTCAATAAAAATAAATAAAAAGGAATGAAATACTGATACATGTTATGACATGGATGAACCTTGAAAACATTATGCCAAGTAAAAGAAGCCGGATGCAAAAGACCACCTATCACCAATCCAAGAAATTTGAAATATGAAATTTCCAAGAAAGTCAAACCTACAGAGATACCAAGTAGATTGCCTGAGGCTGGAGATAGCAATAGGATAAACTGTAAAGTGAAAATGGAGATCTTATTGGGGCCATAGAATGTTCTAAAACTGGATTGTGGTGATGGTTACATAAATCGGTGAATTTACTAAAAATCATTGAATTGTGCACAGGCATAACTCTTTCTAGGAATTTTTCTCTGAACACCTTCTCAGACTCTACCAGTTGCCACAGTCGTATTCTAAACAGGAATCAGCAAACTTTTTCTGTAAAGGCCAAATACCAAATTGCAAGACATTTGGTCTCCGTCGCAACTACTCAGTTCTGCTGTTCTAGCAAAAAGCAACTGTAGATGACACATACGTGAGTGGGCATGGCTGTGTTCCAATAAAACTTTGTATAGGAACACTAAATTTTGAATTTCAAACCATTTTCATGGGTCACAAAATACTGATTTTCTTTCGATTTTTTTCAATCATTTAAAAATATATAAATCAATCTTAGTCCTTGGGGCATAGAAAAACTGACAGTGGACTTAAGAATTCAATCATCCGGTCTTATAGTCTGTACTCCAAGAAGCTGAGCCAAAACAATGTGAGAGCAAAGACATGCTAAGGAGTGTGCCTAGAAATGGTTCTCTTAGGAAATAGTGACTGCTGTATTCAAGGGCGCCCTTTGCGGTTCTAGAGGATGGAGATAGATGATGATGAGAGACAGATTAGATATACAGAGAGATAGAGAGATACATAGATAGATAGATAGATAGATAGATAGATAGATAGATAGATAGATAGATAGACAGACAGATAGATAAATGATGGATGGATGGATAGATGGATAGATGATAGATGAGAGATGATGAAGTTTGATAGATGCAGATGAATGATAAATAGATATAGATGAGAGATATAAATGACAGAAAGCTAAGAATATAATAGATAAATATACATGTGTATATATTATACAGAGAGAGAGAGAAAGTGAGAGATAAAGATAGGTGAAAGATATAAATGATAAACAGGTAGATAGAGGATAGAAAAAGAAAGTTATAGATTAGATAGATAGATAGATAGATAGATAGATAGATAGATAGATAGATAGATAGATAGACAGATGAGAGAGAAAGAGAAAAAGAGAGAGAGAGATGGATATTTTCCTCTAATGTCAGAGAAAGGAAAGCCCTGTCTAGCCACTTTTGACCTGTCTGCCTCTGAGTTGGAACTTTCAATTATCTTCTCAGTCCTAGGGAAACTGCTTCTCCTCAGCAACAGACATCTCAAATTACAACCTCTACATCATGTTTCTCTATGCCCAGGCTGTGACCCCAGGATATAAACACAGGGGATCTGATTTGTCTGGGCCTGATTTGTCAGGCCATGATAATGCTAATGTTAAGCTTAAAAGGATGCTACCGACACACGACTACCAAAGGGAACTCCTAGTGGAAAGTAAGCGCTATTTCGAATTTGAAGAACTATATATGATTCTACCATTGTCTACAAAGGCCATAAAAGCAAATAAATTAAGAGCTGTGGATATGGGGAATGTGGATCTGTACCAAGGTTTTTGGCAAGAGGTGGCCAATGTCAAAGAGAGTATAAGACTTGCATTACAAAATTGACTAAACATGGAGCTATTTTAAATAGGTAAAGACAGTGCCTAAATAAACAGTAGCACAAGTTTTGCATCCATCATATCAAGCAGCCAGCTCTCAAGAGTCCACCCCTGTCCTGATGGCATAAAGCCTATGAATACAGTGAGAGAAGATGCTTCAATTGATGAAACACACACACACACACACACACACACACACACACACAGGCAGGCTCTTTCCCTCCTTGCTTATGGCACCAGCCTTCAGTCAATAAACCAAGTAAAAATCTGGAGGGCATCATCCTTACTTCTTCCCTTTCCTATCAGCCCAAGAACCAACCATTCATTAAATCTCACGGGTTTGGGATGATATCAATGGAAGCTTTCACTATTGATTCATTTAAAATGAGTATTAGATAACAGTGTGAAGCTTCAGAACCATTTGGAGAGCTAGTGAATGAGCCCCCAGGCTCAGTTCCCAGCGGCAGCGCCCTGAATCCCCCCACAGACCAGGTGTGGTGTGGACACTGCTGTTTCTACCACAGACCTCAATATGCTTCAGCTCACGTGGCTGCAACCTCAACACCAGGAAACTCATTATGTTGCAATCATTTACCCACAGCACTACCAGCTCTCAACAGGCCTCAGCACCCTGAAGACAGAGAAGGGCAACGGATGCTCCATGACAAAGCCAGCTCACATGTCCACGTCCAGAACAATGGATCTCATGGAATGGAGGCTGGGGAGAGGACTCCCTGCATTTACCGCTCCTGTGGGGGAAGAAGTCATTGTCATGCTCCAGTAAGAATACTAAAGTGGGCCTTGGGCCAACATGAAATGGGTCAGATGCTACTAAGCTTGAATAAATCAGAGATGTGCAAGATCGCCGTGAAGGTACATGTGTCTTCTGTGTATCACTTGCATTGCCCCCACTTTTCTCCCTTTCTGTGACCACCACCCTTTCTTATTATTAATAAAGAGACTGAACGATAATTTCACAATTGATTCTGAAGTCCAGGCTTAGCTGTTAATGTTATTTCTCAGTGATTTACTGGAGAGATTATCAAAGTAAGAGTGCGATTCTACTAGGAAAGGACCGAAAATCATCCCATGATACATAAAATGGCTTTGTAATCTCTACCTGGGAGGTGATTGGCATGTGCCTGGTTGTATAAAGAGTGTTTGCATCATGTCAAGTGAAACAATGGTTTTGCTATTGCTGTATCTGGAAGTGAAGTATGGTGAAAAGATGTGTGTTTGGAAGCCAAGTTGATGAGGAGCAGCTATGGTGGCTTTGCACCATATCAATTTAGCTAAGCTTGAATTATGTTTCCTAGAATTATCTTCTCTCTCTGGCTCTAGGTTAGGGATGACCACAGCAGAAATCAGCACAAAATGTAGAAAGTGGAAGTGAAGCCACAAGCAAGTTGACCCCTAGGCAGTGAGTGTGATAAGTGTAGAGTTAGTGTGTTGAAGCCCACACATGTTATACGGGACCCTCTGGCTCACCCACTGGTGTGAGCTCGCAGCCTAGGCCACTATTCCTCCAGCTCCCTCAGTTCCTTCAACTAGGCTGGCACCTGTATTAACATTTTTGAAGATCTGTCGTGAAGAGCAACATACACCGTTGAGGTTGGAGATGGGGAGAGATAGATTCACTCCCGAATTCCCTTGAGGGCTCCAGTGTGCCCTCAATCTGCCTTACATCGTAACCAGCTTTTCTTCTCAATACCTAGACTGGCTGGCCTTGAGTGACTCAGGATGACCAACAAATGTAATGACAATTGCCTTCCACAGACTTCATTATCTACAACCACAATCACATGAGGTCTAATCCCTGTAATAAAGCCTATATTTCATGTCACTCACAGTAGTCCTGATGTTCTGAGTGAATCCTAACTGGAAGGTTTAGATTTACAACATGATTACATAGATGTATAAACAACTCAGGATAACAACTCAAAAGTACCACAAGGTTTGTGAAGATTAAACCCAAACCCCCTATATGTAATCTGCCTGTCTGGAATAAAATGAAAACTCATAAAATATTAGCTATAAATTATTTTTGGTTTTTTGTGATGATAGCATCATGAAGGTATGATAGGGGAAGATTTAAATCAATGGTACCTGTTTATCCAGGAGAACAGAGGGCATAGGTATTCAGTAAGATCCAGCCAGTGTGAAAAGTTTAACCTAATGTAAGAATCTCATTTAGGTTCAAAATTGGCACCCGTGGAAAATGAGTGCTGCCATTGTGTTGGGAATAGAGACAGAAGTGGGGCAGGAGGGGGAATAATAATCATGTAATTGCCTCTCCAGCAAGGTCTATTTTGGACAATTTACATACTATGTGATTTTAGCTCTTTAGGAACTCATTATCATTTCCGCATTTCGTACATAGCAAATGGAATGGAGAATTAAGAAGCAAGGGCCATGAGTTTACATGATATTTCAGAGCAGTCCTAGGAGTGGAAATGATTTCTTTCCTGTTTTGTACCCTGTGGCTCTTTTACCCCTTGCATCATATTGAAAGATTAAAATGGTTATGTGGCATTGGGGACAAAAAACAGGGATCAAGTTGGACTAATTGTAGTGTGAGGTTCAGATGATTAACCTCTTCATGATGTTAGGTATTTCTGCAAGCTCCACCAAGGAGGAAGTAGGAGGAGAGAGGATGTGTATTGCTTTGCTCTCCTGGTGAAACCTGGGCCACTCCCACACTTCCTGGAGGTCTGTGTCAATCCAGAGAAGTCTGTTCCTCATAAGAGCAGCATCGCTGGGGCCAGCAGGCCGGATTGGATGCAAGACCATGTCCCTGGTTGTTCCCACCCTGCTCTGTCTTGGTGAGTCTGGGAGAGAAGGGCCCAGCTACAAATACAAGGCTACAGGGTGCAGGGCTGCTGATTCTAGAAGGCTGAGCTGTCTCACCTGCTGTTTCCTCCCAGGGTTGTATCTAGGCCAGAGGACTCAGGCACAAAAGGGTGAGTATTCATCTTAATATCCCAAGTCCCTTCTCCTGGTTTGGGCCAGACATCAGCTCTCTTGGCAGCTGGGAAGAGGGGACTCAGCATTCTGACCAGTGGCTGTAAGAGGGGATGAAGAGGAGGGATGGTGTGAGAAATGGACACACCTGTAGGCCCACATCTGTCCCCTTTCTTCTAGAAACTCTCCCACGACCTAATATCACAGCTCTACCAGGATCCATAGTTCCACCTGGGGATCCTGTGATGATCCTGTGCCAAGGGCCCGCAGAGGCTGAAGCATACGTGATATCTAAAGTGAGTAGCCCTGAGCCCTCAGATGAAGAGAAACAACTGCTACCTAAGAAAAGCAACACTTTGAGTATCGCAGAGATGACACCACCTTGGGCAGGGCTGTACCACTGTTCCTATCACAGTGGAGAGAGAAGGTCCCAGTTCAGCGACTTCCTGCAGCTGGTGATGACTGGTGAGTGTACACAGAGGCAGCAGAGCCAGGACTGACCCCCTTACAGAGGGAAGAACCAGGCTTTACCAATACAAAGCACAGAGGACCAACCACTATCCTTAGGAATGAATCAGGGATGACACAGAGACAGATTGCTCAGGGCGGGATTAGGAGGGGATAGAAACCAGAGCCCTGTGGGCTCCTGGGGAACAAAAAGGGACAATGCATGTGTGTGGCCATGCCCTTTGTCACCAAACTTCCTTCTTTCTCAGGAGCTTATGAAAAACCCTCCCTCTCAAGCATGACTGGAACTGTGGTGGCTTCAGGGGAGAATGTGAAGTTGCGGTGTTTCTCAACGCTCAAGTTTGATGCATTTATTCTTATGAAAAAAGAAGGAGGTCACCCCATTCATAAACGAAGCTCAAACTCCCAGGATGGTGGACACCAGGCTGTCTTCCTGTTGAATCAAGTCTCCTCCACACAGGCCGGGACCTACAGATGCTATGGTGTCTTCAGCCGTTACCCCTATGTGTGGTCTCACCCCAGTGACCGATTGCAGCTTCAGGTCAGAGGTAAGGAAGCCCCAGCCCACCCATCCTCGTGTCCCCTCCGAGAGATCGACACTGTCCAGTGGAGCAGTGATTGGGAAAAGGAGGACAGTGTGGTGGGAAGATGGTGTCACCACCATCTGCTTAGACAGGAAGCTCTGGCGATCTCACTCCCCTCATCCACACTGCAGCCCTCCTACCACATGCCCAGGGGCCGGGGAAGGGCAGTGTAGTCCTGGGGAATGTGGGTAGAAGGGAGCCTGAGCAGAGAGAAAGAAAACCACTCCCATTTCATCCCCATTTGCAGAAGCTCCTGTGGATCCTGATCCCACAAACCCCAGATCTTCACCTGGTGAGTAACTGAATTTAGATGGAAAACCAAAAAAAATTCAAGCAGAAGCAAGAAAGAAAACCACTCTGATTTCATCCCCATTTGCAGAAGCTCCTGACGATCCTCATCCCACGAAGCCCAGACCTTCACCTGGTGAGTAACTGCTAATATTTGTAGAAGGAGCACAGAGGCAGAGAGAATAGCAGGTGCAAAAGGCATGAGGTAGAAAGAAGCTTCACGTGTACATAGAGTGTCAAGGAGACCATTCCTGTTTGCTGAGTCCATGGTTTAATCAGAGGGCAATAGCAAGGAAAGAGCAAGCAGGGCTCCAGTGGAGCAGGCTGGAGGCACCGTCTCCCCACGCCTGTCTTTCTTGACCCCAGAATTCCCTGATGGCATCACCACCGCACCCACAATGACAGGAGGAAAGAAAGGTAAGTAATTGCTTATCCTGTGGAGGTGGGCTGGTCTGCCTACATGCCACAGCCAGTAGACTAGACAAATGGGCTCATGTTTTGGAGTACATTAGTGGGTTGGGCCTCGGTGCCTCCTCTGTAACCTTCTATCCTTTTCTCTCAGAGCCTGCTGCTTGGCATCCTTCTGCAGAGAATCAAGTCCGGCTGAGCCTGGCTGGCCTGATTCTCTTGGTCCTGGGGGTCCTGTTGGCTGAGGCCTGCTACAGCTGGAAGATGCCCTTAAATGGAATAAGACAAGTCTCTTCCTGAATATAATGAAGCACTGACGACCCTCAACTGGCACCTAAAGACTGTGTGGACCCTTAGGGGGCAGCCAGAAGAGATAGGGCCCTGGCCATGTAATCTACTGGGATAATGGAGAAGATTCATTTGCTATTGAATGTGTAACAATTTACCAGAGTCATAGTCATTAAGCAATACAAATCTATTCTCTTGTGGTTCTGGAGAGCAAAAATCTAAAATACATCTGCAGGCCTGTGTTCCTGTTCTAGTTTCTCGTCTGTGTTCCTGACTTGTCAAGTTTCTAGACTCTGCCTGCAGTCCTTGCCTTGGAGCGCCCTCCTCCATCTCCAAACCCACAAGTGTAGCATCTCCTTAACCTCCCTAACCTCTGCTCCCTTCATTCCTTCATCTCTCTATCACTCCCACCCTCCTGCTTTCCTCTTCTGAGGACCCTGTGATGACTGAGCCCAAGAAGATAATCCAGGATAATCTCCCAATCTCAAGATTCTTTACTTCCTTACATCTGCAACGTCCCTTTGCCATGTCAGGTACCATTCACAGGTTCTGGGGATTAGACATGCACAACTCTAGGGGGCACTATTCAGCCAACCTCCTGGATCTCCGTAAATTTGGCCGTTGAACCTGGCTGTACTTGCACTTGTGTACTACCTCCCGGGGTAGACGTGGGGATAAAATATTGTAATACTCTTTAGAATTTAGGACAGGTCATGATTTAAATAGATAGAGAGATGCTTAATAAACCTTGCTAATGTGTCTGGTAAAGTGTAGATTCCTAACACTGCTTGTACTTGGAGGGAGAATAATAGATGTAGGGACAGAAATGCTGACTTTTTTTTCAATAATATCCCTTATTTTTAATTTAAGGATTACAGAAAGCAAATGTGAAAGTATGAATATTTAGGTTAGTTGGTTTGTTCTGCTATTGAAATAAAAAACGTTTGTGATGTTAACCATTGTTCCTGGTCGGGGCTTATTTTTCTTTTGTCTGAAAAGGAACATCTTTAAAAGCATGAGACTAAAACAACAGACTCACAGAATGGTTAACTCCGACTCCTGTTACAGTTATATTGATGAAATTATTCCGGAATTGCTTAGCTCCAATCTACTGAAATAAATAGTAAATATCCTCAGACTTAACCCAGATGGATATGTGTCCTGTAGAGACATGTAGATACTAAGTTACATAACTTGTTCTTTGTTCTCATCTCTGCCCCATGATTACATTCTCTAAGAGCTCCCTGCTCCTGGCTGCTGTTCCCTCACCAAATTGCCCTTCTTCTGGCTGATTGCTACATTTTTTCTCAGTGTTGGCATATGCATAACTTTTTCTAAGATGTTTTCTCTGCATGCTGTCTCAGACTCTTCTACTTGTCACTGTCATGTTCTAAATGGCAACTTTTTTCTAAAGGACAAATAGTAAATATGTTGGGCTTTGTGAGTCATCTGATCTTCTTTGTCACCTCTCGATACTGCTGTTGTAGCACAAAATTAACTGTAGGTGACACATAACCACATGGGCATAGAAGTGTTCCTATGAAATTTTGATTACAGAACACTAAATTGTGAATTTCAAATCATCCTCATGGGTCATAAAATATTAATTTTCCTTTGATTTTTGTTAATCGTTGAAAAACGTAGAAGTCGTTCTTTGTCCAGGGGCTGTACCAAAACATACAGCAGGTATTAGAACTCAATAATCCCGTTTTATGGACTGTCCTTCAAAAAGTTGAGCCCAGGAGTCACATCAGCATCATGGTGCAGTGAGTCGTTCTCTTTGTCTCTCCCACCTAAGTTACAACCAGTCAGACATCTTGTGACCCACAAAGCACTCCCTGCCCAGAACACCAGAATGCCTGAGTGATCCATGCCCCTATACATCTCATGATGTGTATACTGGACCTCCTAAATACATTGGAACAAGGGGAACAACACCGTCCCTCTCCATTGGTGGCAGCAAACCCATACGTGGTTCCTCACACCAGTGTACATGCCAGTGACCACAGGCTATAAAGGCAAAAGGGGCAATCGCGGCCTCGCACCTTCCCACCCCCAGCAGTGGCGGGTGACACACACGTCCTGAGGCTCAAGACTACAGCAGAGCTGGCAACATGGCTCCTCCCCCTCCCCTGGCAACAGGCTGGTTTTTCCAGCAGTAGGGACTACAGCCAAGGCATGAGTTTCCTCAGCAGGGGTGGAGTCCCTGATCCAAATTCTCAGAGTAGATCATCAGCATGCACGCCAGCACTGACAACCAAAAGCTGTGTCTCCTGCCCCTTCTAGGGTTGGTGGGTGGTGCACATGCCCTGAGGCTTCAGGATACAGAGCAGAATCAGAGACCTGGCCCCCTATCCACTCCCCCACCACTGGCACCGGTCTTTCCAGCAGTAGGGACTACATCCAAGGCATAAACTTCCCCAGCAGGGGTCGCGCACTCTCATCTCAAGTTTCAGAGAAGACTACCAGCACAGAGCAGCCCCAGAGACAAGAGGCTGTGACCCTAGCCCCCTGAGCAGTGGGTGGTGGACATGCATGTCCTGAGGCTTTAGAACACAGAGTGGTGCCAGTGACCCAGCCACTCCTCCTCCCCTTGCAGTGGTGCTGGTCTTTCCAGCAGTGGGGATAGCAACCAAACATGGATTTCACCTGCAGGAGCAGGATGCCCTAACCTGAGGTCTCACAAATCACACCAGCAGGCTCCAGTGACCAGAAACTGCAGGGACAGCATCAACACTTGCAGCTTAGCCACTATTCCTCCCCCAGCAGTGGCAGGTGACACCTGCAACCTGAGGTCCCAGGAATCACAGCAGAACCTGAGACCCAGTTCCCAGTGGCAGCATCCCCAACACCAGCTCTACAAGGAGCAGAGGCTGCATACAAGAACCTGGGCCCCCAACAGCATGAGCGACACCTGTGAACCCAACACCCCTGGCAGTGGTGCTGCCAGTACCCCCAGATAACCCAGGAGCTGAAACACAGGTGGTGCATGGGCAGGAACACCCAAGCCCGTGGAAAGCCCAGAGAGCAAGCAGGGGAACACAAGACCCAGGCAACCCCAGAAGCAGCAGAAGTGCTCACAGCCCAGAGACCCCAGTGGCAACACCTGAGACTCCAGCAACATTGAAAGCAGCAAGGCACCACCAACTTCAGAGAAAAAAGCAGCATAAGAAGGGCACTGATGACACCTTTAACAGAGGCAGCGGAGGGTGGAAAGTGCAGGCTCTCAAGTACAGCCAGAAGTAGCACAGAACAAAAGTAACTAAAGCCTTACCCAAGTAAGAATGGAGGTTACTACCACAAATGTGCCAGCACTGGATCAGTACATCAAATACCGTGAAGAACTACAGTAACCTGGAAGAACAGAAGGAGAATACAACTTTCCAGAAACCAAACTTGAAGTCACACAAGAATACACTATGACCGACAGAGAATTCAAAATAGCTGTCATAAAGAAACTCAAAGAATTACAAGAAAACTCAGAAAGACAGTTCATTGAGCTCAGGAATAAAATTAATGAACAGAAGGAATGCTTCACCAAAAAGATTGAAGCTCTAAAAAAAAAATACAAAGGAAAATTCTAGATATGAAGAACGCAATTAATGAGATAAAAAACGATGCACAAAGCATAAAAATAGAGCAGACCTTATGACAGAGAGAATCAGTGAGCTCGAAAATAGAAACCTAGAAATGATCCAGGTGGACCAGGAGAGACATATAAGATTTTTTATAAAAGGAAAAATTCTTTGACAAATATCAAACTCAATTAGGGAAAGTAACATGAGGATTATAAATATCTGAGAAGGAGAAGAGAGGGGAAAAGGAGCAGAGAGCTTATTCAAAGAAATAAAAGCTGAGAACTTCCCAAACCTGGGGAAGGAACTGGACATGCAAGTACTTGAAGCTAATAGAACTCCTAATTACATCAACACAAAAAAAGACCTTCTCCAAGATATGTAAGATTAAAACTGGCAAAAGTCAATGACAAAGAAAAAATATTAAAGGAAGCAAGAGAGAAGAATATAACCTACAAAGGAGCCCCCATCTGGCTATCAGAGGATTTCTCAGCATAAACCTTACAGACTAGGAGAGAGAGGAGAGATATATTCCACTGAAAGACAAAAACTATCAGCAAAGAGAGTGACGGCAGCATCATGGCAGAGTGAGCTTCCCACATTGAACTCTCCCCCTCTAAGACACAACAAAAAGGACATTCATATTCCAACAGAAGCTATTCACACGACACAGGGGACATCTGAGGCATCCAGGCCGTTGTACACCAGAGGACAGAGGTGTTGGAATCCCCAGAGGAAGTGGAAGGAGGTAAGAGGAGCTCCTTTCTTTCCCCAAGGACTGAGACCCAGAGACTGAGACCATGCAGATCTCAGAGGAGGGGTAGAGGCAGCTCACCACCGGCAGTCCCCAAGACCCCTCACAGCCCGAGGGGATCCCCCTACAGAGGGAGAAGAACTGTTGCGAGGGTAGTTTCAGCAAGCTATCCCCTCAGGATAGCAGACAGCGACAGCGAGGAGAGAAACTTCTCAGATCGGGGAGGTGAAAGTAAGCACCCCTCCACCACCTGGCCTG